GGGGGGTGGTTTCCGTGTCTCTCCCCAATTCTGGTGTTGTTTCCGTGTGTAGATAGGAGTGTGTATGGTGTATTGTTTTACAGTCTTGTGCTGCTGCATGCAAAGTACTTGCAAGTTGTTTGTGTACAATGCACTGATGAATAATGATGGACATGGGACCTCAACGCACTAGTAGTCTTCTTCTTCTTCTTCTTCTTCTTCTTCTTTTTTTCACTGGACTAGCCTTGACATACACAAAAGACAAAGATCATGGCGGCGTATCTTTCCATGTTTTAGCGGAAGATTCACTTTCGTTTTGCACATTTCGAGAGTAGTGGAGCGACGCCCATGGTTTTCATAGTTGTTGTGAAGATCGAGTGTCGTTGTGCTGTCTGTGGCCCACGACGCACTAGTCACCAAATGTGCAGAATGAGAACGAATTCTACCGTAAAACACGAAAACATACACTGCTCTCCACACGCAGAGCCTTGGGTACTTCTGAAACAGACCTCAAGGAGAGCTCAGATTTTTGGTACCTATCATCCAAAAAAAATTTGTACTTCCATAAGGGAGCTGTTGGACCGCCTGATCACAAATGACGAGCTCCTAAAAGCAGCAAAACAAATGGCCCTTGGAAAGTGCCCAGGCCCAGATGGTCTCCCAATAGAACTCTACCTGGTGGCTTGGGACTCCTTTGCGCCGTCCTTTGCCGAAATTTTTAATAGGGTTCAACAAACAGGCACCCTCCCCTCGGATATGGCTAGTGGCATGATATCCCTGATGTATAAAAAAGGTGACAAAAGAGGTTCGGAATTGGAGACCCATCTCCCTTCTGAACGTCTCCCACAGGTTCGAACACGTTGCGCTTGTCAAGGGTGCACCATATTCGAGAATGTTCTGAGTACAATCCAAGCGCTAGAAATAATAAGTACGGAGAAGCGGGAGGTGGCTATCTTATTGTTGGATATGGAGAAGGCCTATGATAAAGTACGGAGAAGCATTGTACTAGAAGGGTACAGCGACAGTTCTAGTGAATGGCAAACAGTCGGACCAATTCAATCTGACCCCTTCTCTCCGCCAAGGGTGCCCGCTTGCACCCCTCATATTCGTGTTACAGCTGGAAACCCTTTTAGATAATATAAGGTTTAACGATAATATTGTAGATCTTAATCTACCCCCCGCTATTCAGTGGAAAGGGGGAGCTCTGGTCGATGATTTGACGATCGCATGTGAAAATAGGCCAGATAGCCTTCTTGAGCTAAGAAACGTCTTGAATTCATGTTGTAATTTGTCAGAAGCCTTGATAAATTGGGTTAAGTCCGTGTTTCTTCCCCGTCCCTAGTGATGCATCAGATCGGTTCCTAGGGGTGCAAATTTTGGTGTCTTGTGACAAACTATTTTTTGTAACCACACGACTTTCTGCGCGACGCTACTTCAGGGGTTAATCGGTAGGGGCCCGTCCAATTGCATGAATGCCCCCGCTTTTTCAGAAGAGGGGTGGTCTCACGACGGTTGATGGTTGATTGCGCCTTGACGAGTGCAGAACATAACTTTTGCCATAGCTTCTTTCTTGTTTTGCTGGAAACCCACGCCTAAACCCATGCCCAAACCCATGCCAAAACCCACATTTAAACCCACGCCTAAACCCACGCCCAGACCCGCGCCCAAACCCACGCCCAAACCCACGCCTACACCCACGCCTAAACCACGCCTAACCCGTGCCAAAACCCATGCCAAGCCCACGCCAAACCCACGCCCAAACCCATGCCCAAACCCACGCCAAAACCCACGCCCAAACCCACGCCGAAACCCACGCCCAAACCCACGCCAAAATCCACCTCAAAACCCACGCCAAACCCAAGCCAAACCCACACCCAAACCCACGCCAAAACCCACGTGAAAGTTTTGGTGCGATCGTCGCACGGGAATATATTTTTGAATTTTCAACTGATGTCGAGCCCCTGCGGGCTCTTGGAATTTCTTTTGCAATTAGGATTTAGGCTAGGAATTTGGGTGCATCTCAATTTTGCCGACAACGGCACGACGCTTCTTGCTTGCGCGCGCTTTGCCGTGTCAGGATCTGTGCTGTAGTTTTTTTGCGGAAATCTCACGTGTAACTATAACTCTCTTCTTGGCAGAGCGCATATGTTGTAATCCCCCCCTCCTTGATATCTTTGTTGCGCCCTTGTGCGTGCATATTTTCCCCCGCCCTATTGGCCTGAACGTTGCATGTTTGGATTGATGTGTGGAGTGTGGCTACGTCCCCCACGCCGAGGCCCGGCCATGCAGACGAAGGCACTTCCTTCCTCCTTCCCCCACTCAGGCACAATCCCGGGTATCTCGCGCAAACACTCGCGCAATAAATTTTGCAAATGCAATTAACTCGCTCTCTATGAATTTTGGAGTTAGCGCGGGCGAGCGGATCGGCTAACGGGCAAGACCAGGAAGGTGAGTAGAGAGAGTTGGGTGATCCGACGAGCTGGTGCTGGGTATGCGGGGTTGACGTGTGACCGCGAAGGACTGTGGCACACGGGCGAACCTGGCTTGCATGCTCGGACTAAGCGGGGTGACAACTCTGTGTAGGTGCGAGGCGACGGACTGCCCACATCGGGATGGTGTGGAGAGAGAGAGAGAGAGAGAGAGAGAGAGAGAGAGAGAGAGAGAGAGAGAGAGAGAGAGAGAGAGAGAGAGACGAGATGTGTTGGAATGATGTTCTCCTCCTTATGGAGTGATGTGTGGTTCTCTTCCTTGCCCCGTCCCTTCTTTTGTTTGAATTGTTAGCTTGGTTGATTGATCCTCTGCGCTCAGTCCATGTATGTCTTCTGACCACCCGGACCCCTGAAGTTTGATACATGGATGAATTGACGGTTCTCTGTCTGAACATGAATTGGATAAGCATGCTAGTTGGTTAGACGCCTGTTTCACGTTGCGATCATCCATTTTCGGGCTGGCATGCCAGTATATATGTAAGGGTTGTGCTGGCAATTATCCGCCTGACTGACGGACAGATCTTGTGCACGCACGTGTAAGCCCGGCCGAAGAAGGTCATCACGTACACACGTGTCTGCAAGCTCTGTCCCCGATTCGGCCCCCAACCAAACACCCCAAATGTCTGGACTCTCGCCCCGCGCCCGCAATATGAATATCGAAATCCCCTTTCGAATCACTGACCGCGGGTGTTTGAGGGATCGCGCGTTCCGAGAATATTGGGAGCACGTGCGTCTGCCTGCACGATCGAGGGCGGAACCTTTGGAATTGCCATACTCAACAGGAAACGAGCGTATTTGCGAGTGGGATATTGGTTAGGCTTTGGAACATATCCCCCACCTCCCCGGATTTCCCAGCCCATATATGTGTCACATCGTCGTGGAACCCGAAATTATTATTCTGGAAACTGAATTCCCTCCCTATCACTGTATATTGCCCTTCCACTCCTTGACCATCGCCCCCTGGCGGGCGCTCGCCCCCTACTGGCCCCACC